AGAATCTGATGCTTTAATGAGCAGGCCCAGAATATCTGGCGTTTTACAGTCAGTCATAAGAAGAAACAACTCACACAAAAATGTATTCCTCAGTGAGCTGAGATGTTGCTTAGTTGGTAAAGTGCTTGCCCAGCATGAGTGAATCCCTATGCTCTATTCCCAGCATCTTATAAACTAGATGAGGTGCCTATAATCTCAACATTCAGAATGATCAGTAGTTCAAGGTCATTATTTGGGAATTTGAGGCCAGTGTGGGATATATGAGACCCAGTCTCAAAAACAAAAGGAAAAGAGAAACGTTAGCCCTCAGCAAAATGACATGTTCATCCAACCATCCAGATCTGAGCCCCAGTCAATGTAAGCACCCTCCCTTCCTCCCAAGGGCATGCTCCCTTCTCCAGGAACTCACTCACTGTGTCTTTGAAATGTATGTCAATAAATATTCTCTTTGCTTATTCTGGTCTTAGTGGATTCTTCTTACCCACCCATGTCCCTGGCCTTCCAGATGTCTTGCACAGCAAGCTTTTTGTCGTACACTTTTGCAGAGGTGGTGTGTACACTAGGACCCAGTAAATTCTTGTTCCATTCTTTCTGAGAAGCTTTGTCTAAGAATTACAAGGTGATCACAATCTATGATGAGCTAAAGCCTTGTGATGAAACCACAGGTATGTTGCATAAATCCGGTAAATCTGACAGGTGATGATTTTTTAGACTGACAAGAAATTAATCTGGTAGACATGTATGGAAAAAAACCTGTTGCATGGGAAAATGGCTTCTGCAAAGAGTTGGAGGGAGGCTTTCTTTATCTCTGGTGCCTCTTGTCCACTCAACTCCACCCTATTGACAGCTATTCTGCTCTCTTGCTCTCTCAGTCTGTAGGCAGTCTTAGTGTGTCTGTGTATGCGTGTGTGTGTGTGTGTGTGTGTGTGTGTGTGTGTACATTACTTTATAGAATCCAGAGGGCAACCTCAGGTACTGTTATTCAGAATCTGTCCACCTTCCTTTTTGATACAGGGTTGCCAAGTAAGCTAGGCTGGCTGCCCAGCAAGCCCCAGGGCTCCACCTGTCACCACCTCCCCAGCACTGAGATTACAAGCATACATCACCACACCCAACTTTTTGCTTTGTTTTAACATGGGTTCTGGGGATTGAATTTAGGTTTTTATACTTACTAGGGCTATCTTTCCAGATCCCAAGAACCTCTAGGTCTTATGACTGTTTCTGAGAAGCTCATGGTCCAAGCCTTCTCCCTTCCTTTAGGAGGGAATTAGAGTATCCATTGTAATAATTACTTTTCTCATTCCAGGGACAAAATACCTGACAGTAGCAATTTAAAGAAGAAGAATTTGTCTTGGCTCATAGTTGGAGAGTATGGCATGGTGGCAGTATAAGAAACATCAAATACTAGTCTTTTCTTTAAACACTATAAAACATTTGACAAGGAATTCTAATTTTCTGATCGGCCTCATCCCACCCTATAAAACTTTTGTTTTATGACAAGGAATTCTAATCTTTTGATTGCCTCTAACACATACCCTATAAAAACTTTTGGTTACTAAAGAAGAAAAAAGAGAGAACCCTGATACATTCCAGGAATTGATGGCCTGGGAGTCTGGGAAGGGCTCAGCCCTCTTTGGTCATCCCCTCCCCCCCATAACCTTTCTCTTCTTTTACTTAGGCAACTGGAAAAAGACTGTGAGGTCAGACCCTAGCCAATGGGGAAAAGACACAATACTATTGCATTCGGAGTTAGGATAAAAACATGTCCTATGCCCTATTCCGTGTGCTTGCTTTTCCATCTCTCTGTTGTGAGTGGTACACCCTTCTGACCAGAAGTAAAGGTTCATCTTGTTAAGACACTTTAATTGGAGTGTTGGTGGTCTCTTCCTTTGTGACCCTGAACATATTTCTAACAGCAGGAACGTGAGGCAACTGATTATATTATACCCACAATCAGGAAGCAGAGAGAGATGCACACTGGTGCCCAGCCTGCTTTTTTCTTTTGTTCAGTCCAGGACTTCAATCCAAGAATGTTCCCACCCACATTTAGGGTGGGTCTTCTCACTTCAGTTTACACAATTAGAAACTCCCTCACTGACATACCCAAAGGCTTATCTCCTAGGTGATTCTAGATCCTGTCAATTGACAATATTAACTATCACATCCATCAGATACACACATCTTGATAGCGCTGAAAACAGAGCACCGAGTTCTTATGCACTTGGGCATGAGATGACCCTTAAGAATTCAGCTCAGAGTTCACATGGTGCAGTTGGAATTCCATCTTCAGCAGACAAGGGACTGCCTATGAAAGCCTGGGGCCTGAACTTTCACCATGAAGTCTCGGCTCGACTGCTCTGGTTAGATCCATCTAATCAGTCTCCTCCAACTGTAGTCTTCAGGAAGTCTCTGATGCTTTTAAATGTTCCCAGGATTTGTTTCAGTCAAATACGAGAAGGCATACAGACATGAAAATGACTGTCATCAAGGAAGGTTATATTCCCAGGTTGCTAGAAACAGGAGACATGGCACACTGTGCAGGGTACCACACAAGGGGAGCACCAGGGAGGTCAGGAGCACAGAAAGCCAGAGAAAACATGGGTTAGAGTCCTTATTGTGGTTTCCACTGGAAGGAATAGAGCCTCTAAAGAGTCTCTTCTTTACATTGTTTCTCTCTGGCCTTCGGTCACAGAACCAAAAAATGTGAGTAGCGCAGAGGCCTATAGCTGGGCCCAACAGGGAGAATCGAAAAACTGCAGAATGATTTCTCCTTTGTCACTTTTGTTGCTAGTTTTTCTTCTAGTAAGGAAAAATCTTTTAAAATTCCAACTTTATCACCAGGCCTTCTGGCACAGACCTGTAATTCCAGCATTTGAAGGGTGGAGACAAGCAAATCAGAAGTTCAGTACCATCCTTGGCTACATGGTGAGCTTGAGACTAGCCTAGGCTGCATGAGACCCTGTCTCAAAAAGTGATAAAATAAATAATATATAAATAATATTCCAATTTTGCCTCTGCCAAAATTTAAAAGCCAGTATCTCCACCCCCTTAAAGAGGTGACCAAAAATCATGACTGGCACTCTCCTGGTGGGACAGAGTAACAAAGAAGGGTGAGGTTCTAGCATTTACTGAGAGGAGCTGGAGACTCCTGAGAAAGGGAGTGTGTCAGCTGTCCAAGTTTGAGTCAGTGGTGTGAAGAACTGTCTGGCCCCAAAGAACCAACAATGAGCATCTCTCTCCAGCTCAGCATCATGAAGGTCACACTGCTAGTAGCAGACCACTGGTTAGAGATGACAAGCTGAGAATCACAGTTTATGTAACAAGGACCATGACCAGAAGCAGGGAACTTGAGAGTGAGACCCAGCAAGTGGGAAATTTGGGGAAGGTCTGAAGGTAAACACCTCATAGCTGCTATTCTGTAGAGAGGCCAGGGAAGATCCTAAGAATACTCCCTGCAGGAACTGGGGCTCAACCTTGCTTGACCTCAATTCTGCAGCCTCCTCAGTGCCCTTGTCCATGGAGCATGCCCCTTCCCACACTCCCACAGTTCAAAGATGATGCAATCCGTTATTCAGTCTATTTTTTTCATTGTTGTCCATGATGTATGTGTAGAGGTCAGAGAATAATCTTAGGTGATCCTCACCTTCCTCATTGTTTGAGACATGGTCTTCCTTGTTCACTGCTGTGTACGCCAAGCTAGCTGGCCCATGGGCTTCTGGGATTCTCCCTTCTGCCATCCATCTCCTACAGGGACACTCTGGGATTTCAGACGCTTGCACTACTGCATCCAGAGTTTATGTGAGTTCTGGAGATTGTGAACTCAGTTTATCAGGCCTTCACAACAAATGCCTTACCCACCAAGCCATCTCCCCATTCTCTTTATCTGGGGAGGGGGCTTGTTCTGTTTTGAGAGAGGGTCTCCCTATAGCCCCAGCTGACCTGGACCTCACTAGGTAGACTGGGCTGGCCTCAATCTCACAGACATCTGCCTGCTACTGGCCCCAGAGTGCTGGGATTAAAGGCATGCACCACTACATGTGGCTTCCCCATTCTTTTATTTTTTATTTATTTTTTATCTTTTTGAGACAGGGTCTCCACCAACTAAAACAGCACACCCCTCCCTTCATACCTACCTTCCTTACTTTTTCTACATTCCTTACCCAATATTTTCCTAACCAGAGCCACATGCCCCAGTCCACTGTGATCTACCTGTCCCCACAGAGACCCCAGTCCCCTTGGCCATCTCCCAACCCTCCACCTCCAAAGTGGATTGATTCCATAACCTTGAGTAGGGCTTCTGTAAGGGTAACACAAAGAGCACAGAGCCTTCCTTCACTCCTGTATATGAAGACTAGAGGGTCACAAAGGCCAGATACCTCTGAGATTACAGAAATCACAGCTCTCAGGAGTTAGAGAAATGACTCCGCAGTAAAGAACATGTACTGTTCTTGCAGAGGTACCAAGTTCAGTTCCCAACACCCATATCAGGCAACTCACAACTGCCTATAAATCCAGCTCCATGGGATCCTGTGTTCTCTTCTGGACTCCTGGGACACCTGAACTCACATGTACACACACACACACACACACATATTTAAAAAGTAAAATGGGGGCTGGAGAGACAACTCAGTGGTTAAGAGCACTGGCTGATTTTCCAGAGGACCTGGGTTTGATTCCCAGCACCCACATGGAGGCTAACAACCACTCAGTTCCAGGAGATTTGACACTCTCTTCTGGCCTCCATGGCATTACATGCATTGGTACACTTACATACAATATACATATGCATAAAAATAAACAACAAAGAAAAAAGATACTAGAAATCACAGATCTGACTAAAACTCACATATGGGTAGTTAAGACCTGTCCAGAGATGATCCAAGACTGGATGAGATAATGTCCCACCTTCCATTGCATGGGGCTTACAGAAGTAGTATGTGTTATGGTTATCATACAATTAAGCTATGATGGTATAATAAACCAATGTTTACAATAACATCTACTGGTATAGATAATGCTTTATTGTTTACAGGTTTCCTCATTTAATCCTTGCAGCAACCCTGAGGTAGGTATTATCCCCACTTTACAGATGAATAAACCAATATCCCTAGGTTAGACTACATGTCGAAGATCCTACACTAGTGGCAAAGCCACTGATAATTCCAAACCCAAGGGGACTCTTGAGTAGTTCACAGGTTGCTGCCAAGGAAAGTAGAGCAGAAAACTTCAACTGGAAAGGGGTGCATCATTCACTAGAGCTTGAGGGGGTCCCTGACCAGGGATGAACCAGGCACATTCACAGGCCAAGACCAGGACTGAGCAGAAGCAGAGAGCACATGTGAATTGTGAAGCAGGAAAAGAGCCGACAGTGTCTTCAAACACACACAGGGCCCAGCTTCCACAGACTGGAGAAACAGAGGGCCTCCAGCAGCTACAAGTCCAGGGACTGGCCACATCAATAGGGCTGGGGCAGGAGGAATGGAACCACCTCCCTTGGACCCAAGAGCAGCAACTTCGGGCAGTGGTCCTTTAACTTCATTAAGGCCTTGAGCAACTGGTTGAAAGCCATAATTCCCTCATTCCAAAACACAGACACAAATGTACAGAATTTTGTATACAGTTTCTGGGAGTTCATGGGCCCCAGCTCGGAGGCTCCTGCTTTTGGGCAAGGGTGTCACCCTGAGGAAACACTGAGGCAAACCTATCTTTAACCTGCTTGTATTTCCTATGACTGGGCTCCTCTTGTCATCCCCCAATATTCAGAGTGTTGTGAAGTTCGTTTTTAATGGTAGCCAAGCAAAGGGGGCTCAGCCTTCACTTAGCCAGGGAAAGCACAGCTGTGGCATGGCAGTGGTAGCAGCCAGAGGGTAACAACAAGGAGAAGGGGGGGGGGTCACATGTCTCACTGCCCTTCCCACCCAGAAGGTCACTTTGGGAACTTTACTCAAATTTAGAGAAGCACTGTGGGATGATGGAGGGGCAGTGTGGTTCCCCTCACTGGCTAGCCAGTGTAAAGTTCTGTAGGCAATGCCCCATTCCAACCTTCCCCTCCCTATCTCCCCAAAGCACCTAGGTACCAGCTCTGTCATTCATGTACTTGTGGCTAAGTCTTCTAGACACACAAGTGTCTAGAGAGGTCTCAGGGCAGCTTGGGGATCATGCATTCCCCAGGGTCCCCTAAACTGGAAAATCAGTACAACCACCCCAAAGCCTCAGTGCACACTAGCCCCTACTACCTCTGTGGCTCTTCCTGGACCAGGGCCCCCAGCAAAAGCAAAGTTAGAGCTATGTCCTTGCTCCATCCCACAAACCCATGGGCCCAAAATAGGATGCCAGGGTGGAAGGTCACAGGAGCTCAGGGGGGGAGGGGAACCATCATTCACTTAAGAGAGCAAACAGTTTCTGATCTCTCACGAGAATCAGGAATCATCAAAGGTCTGGCCCTAAACCCATCTAGGACCAGAGACAGTATACAGTGAAGTCCTGGTGATCACTCAGACTCCAAGAGAACCAAACAGCGCTGATCTCATCTTCCAGGCCCAATGATGCTGGTCTTGGTGGGCAATAGTCCTAGTGACTACTCATGGGCTAGCAGTCATTGACCTGGCTCTAGATTGATGTCTCATCACATGTGGCTAGAGGTGCCCCAGTGAGCCGGATGTGGGCTGGGCTGGGGCAAGGATCCAGCAGGAAAGGTGGAGGGAAGCCACCAAAGCCACTACTCCTCTTGGCCAGGGCCAGGGGTAGCCGTTCATCTTCAGGAGAAGGGGAGGGAGGGTCCTGGCTATAGCTTGTGGTCCCAGATGGTGGGGCCCCCAGGTCTAAGCCCACCTTGTCTCTAGCCAGAAGTTCCCTCTGTCGCAGTCTCTGCTGGCGCCGACCAATCAGGAGGAGAGTGAGGGATGCTGCAAGAACCCCCAGGAAAAAGCCAACCAGTCCAGCCCCTACCACTGTGCGGGCCCGGTTTGAGGGGTCCTGCTGGCTGCCCCACACCAAGCTGTAAGCTGCCACCACACGGGCTGCCCCACCCTCCTGACACTCACAAGCATAAGCACCCATGGCCCCTGGGGTCACCACCACCTCTAGCCCATCCCGACGGGGGGTGAGTGCAGTCACTCCACTGGGCTGGTGCCACACACAGGATGCCCATGCAGAGCTGGGGGAACACGGCAGGACCACATGCCCTGCAGTGGCCACCGGAACTTCAAACACTACTGGATGTTCTGTGGAAAGAGCATAGGCACAAAAGACAGTGAGGCTTCAGGGGTTGGCAGTAAGATGAAGTTGTAAGTGTGGAGTGATGTCAGATGTGAGACAGAGCTGTGGGGACAGAGTCAAAAAGAGGATTCCCAAAGGGGGTTGGAGGGATGGCTCCGCTGTTAAAGGCACTTGCTTTTGCTGAGGGCCCTGGTTTGCTTCCCAGCACCAACAGTGGCTACCAACATGGTGGCTACCAACTCTCTGTAACTCCAGTTCCAGGGGATCTGATGTCCTCTGCTGGCCTACACACACACTGCATGCATGTGGTGCAGTTGAAAGTAAATAAAAATTCTTTTTTTTTTTTTTTTTAAAAAAAAGAGGATTTCCAAATTGGGGAAGACCCTGAGTCCCTAGCTGCCATTTCTTCCTGGACCCAAGTTTTTTAAATAGTTTTTTTTTTTTTTTTAAAAAAAAGGACAACTTTCTAAATCCCTTTCTACCAACTCCACCCACATTTTCCTGAACCATACAGACCTCCAGGTTCTTTGGGACACAAAGAAGAGACATCCGCCAACTCTATGTCTTGAACCAGCCTACAAAGAAGATAATACTTAGTAAATCCAATGTCAGCATCTTCTTGCACATGCCTCAGTACCTCCTCAGAACCTCACAGTACTGTGATATTCAGTATTCAGTGCCACAGTACTCACTCATTACACTTTCTGTCATCTTACAAACTGCCTCCCAGAACTAGTCAACATGTCAAATTTATTCTACACTTATTTCTCACAGACTAGGGTTTGTTGGGGAGATATTTGGTGGTTATGTATTAAAAGAAAGAGGAATCTTGTAAAAAAAAAAATGAACCTGGCTATTCCTAACTACAAGATTTCTCTGGGGAAAAAAAATTATATACATATATAAATTATATATATGGTCATGAGGATTCAGCAGGGAAAAATGCTTGCTGCACAAGCATGAAGACTTGAGTTCAAATCTCTAACACCTGTGTAAAAATCTGAGCATGGCTATGCACATGCCTGTAACCCCAGTGTTGTGGGAGGAGTCAGGAGGATGGCTGGGTATTGCTGGTCATCCGCCTAGCCCCAGGTTCAGTGAGAGACTCTGCCTAAGGTAACAAGACAATGAGTGATAGAGCAGGACAGCTGATATCCTCATCTGGCTTCCAAGCACACGTAGAGGTAAGATGGCTTTTGGGCTGTTTCACAAAATGGCTCATCTCTACAGAGGAATTCCTGCTCAGCAGCTCTTGGTTGTCTGCTAACATATCTGTTTGAAGTAATACATTCCTGGCATTTCTAGAATTGGGGGAAGACTATGATTGGAGATGGTGCGCTCTCTGACACCTGTCTTCAAAACAGGAATTCTCAATATTAGTTTGGAAAAGTACTTTTCAAAGAGCTGACCAAAAGTACTCCATTGAGGAAATTGCAATTAAAGATTTACAGATAGCTGAGGATCTAGTCAGTATACAACACTTGCTTAGCATGAAAAGACCCTAGGTTCAAGTCAGACTTGGTAGATCGCACCTTTAATCCCAGGATGTGGGAGGACAATGCAGGACGATCACTGAACTTGAGGCTACCCTGGGCTAAGATCTAATTTCAAAAAAAGTTTTTTTTTTTAATTAAGAGACATTTATAAAACATATAAACCAATCAAAATTGATGGAATTGTTTGAATCTTGACTTAAATGGGCTGTTTTTAAGTATATGCAAAGGAGGAAATTGGAACACTGGATATTTAATGAAACTAAGAAATTAAGGTTTTGATATGACTATAATAATATTACTCATTACTTAATATACTGTGTGTGCATATGGGGAGGTTACATGCTTGTGTATATGCATGTGGACATGCCCATGGGAAGATTCCTACTGTGGCCAGTGCACGACCATGTGGAGACCAGAGGACAGCCTCAGGTGTCATTCCTCAGAAACCATTTACCTTGCTTTTCAGACAGGGTCTCTCACTGGCCTGGAACCTGCCAAGCTGCCTAGGCTGGCTGGCTAGCAAGCCCCAGGGTCCAGCACTAGGATTACAAGCACACATCCAGCCCAGTTTTTGTTTTTGTGCGGTTTTTTTCATGGGTTCTGGGGATGGAACTCGAGGGCAAGCACTTTACTAACTGAGCTATTGTCCCAGCCCCATAATGGTCATATTATTTTTTAAAGCATCCTTTTATGTTAGAGATCTTGAAAGAAAGATTTATGGATAAAATAATATAATATCCAAGATTTACTTTAAAATTAGGAGTAAAGTTATTGATGAAGCAGGATCAGACAGGTGTTAGTGGCTGTTGAGGAGCAGATATATGGAAATATATTCACCATACTAGTCTTTCCACTTTTGAATATATTTGAAATTTCCAACAGTAAAACATTTTTAAGAGAGAAGTATAGGCCAGGCGTGGTGGTGCATGCCTTTAATCCCAACACTCAGGGGCGGGGAGGCAGAGGCAGGTAGATCTCTGTGAGTTTGAGGCCAGCCTGGTCTATATAGTGAGTTCCAGGCTAGCTGGGGTTAGAGAGAGAGAGAGAGAGAGAGAGAGAGAGAGAGAGAGAGAGAGAAGCTGAGGCTACTGAGACCCTGTCTCCAAAAGACCAAAAAACAAAAAGAAAAAGAAAAGAAAAACACATCTGGTTGGAGCACCCAGAGGAATAACAGTCCCTTTCTTGAGAGGAGGGAAAGAGGAAAGCACAGTGTATGCTTAGACAGGCTGTGTTTGGATTGCTTATAAAGAATCTGAAATGTTGGGTTGGGCAGGGAATTCTTCAGGTCTGCTAGAGATAACCTTATGGTCGCCATCAGCAACTTGGATGGTATTGAAAGTAATAGGAATGAAATCACCTAGACAGAGTATAAAGAGAAAGGGTCCAGCACCGAACCCTGAGAACATCAACATTCAGTAGCTGTGAGGAGAAAGGAATCAGGTGGGAGAGAAGGGAATGGGGAGTCACAGAAGGCAAGAGGGAAGAGGATTTCAAGGAAAGAGAATGACTATGAGAGCACTGGTAAGATGAAAACTGAAAACTGTCTACCAGAGATTATGTTGGGCCCACTGTCCGCTTGTCACTTAGGCCCACTGTCAGGGAAGGTCTAGCAGAGAGTACCAGACAGTACCAGACAGACAGATGACTTAATACAGGCTGACAGATGCATAGGCAAACGATGCAGACACTAACACAAGAAGAAAGCACAGGCAGGGTGGCCTCAGAGGATGAGACAGACATATGGGAGGGGTGGAGCCCAGGACCGCAGGCAAGATTCCAAAGTAGCCCCACTCACCCTCGGTGCTCCCCTGCATGGGCCACACAAGCATCTAGCCGGAAGCTCCAAGCACAGACAGGGTCCTGGGCCAGGATGCACTCTGAGCAGCTCTGGAGACGGCCACAGTTGCTGGTGTTCACTTGTGTCACCTCAGTATGGGAGCCCACCAGGAGCCAACTCTACAGAGACAGAGAATGGAGGGGAAATGTGCTAGGTCTCCCAGATCAGCTCTAGACTAGCTTCCCCTCGCCCCCTGGTTCCCCAAATCCACAACTCACATCATATAATTTCATGCTTTCAACAGGCTGTGGCTCTGGGAACAGGGCCAGATCCTCAAGGACACTGAGTTGGGCTCCGATGCGCACTGCTCTGTGGAGGTGTCCATCCTCTGGGAGGCAGGCAAGGAGCAAGAATAATGGTATGATCGTCCCACACCTGGGACTCTGGTGCCTGCATGTAATTAGGGGGCCTATCTGTAGTGACAGTAGGCATTATGGGGGTAACTTGCTTGATACTTAAATATACCTGTCCCCAGGTACAGCACATCATAGTCTTTCCCTGAGAGGCTTGTTACCCTGCGGGCCACAACTCTGAGATAGGCTGTACCCATAGTGACCAGCAGGGCATGGCCATCAGCTGGAAAAACTGGCTCGTCCATGAGTGGGTGGTCTCGGATGAAGGTGAGCACACGGTCAGGCAGGGAGAGTGAGGACCCAAACTGTTGGAGCTTCATGTTGTTGGTGATGCACTAAAACAAACAGGGCTGGGTGACAACGTTTCCCGGGGAACAGGAAGCATGTGATGTTTAGCACAACCCTTGCCCTCATGGCAGCTCTGTAAACCAGGCCTGCCACAAAGACCTGCCCTGCCCCCTCACCTCTCCAGGTCTGGGCTGGGGAACCTCATTGTCCATGACAGGCAGTCCCCTGTTGCAGTCATGTTTTAGCTCTCTAAAGGGCCCATTCAGCACTGTTCGAATATCCTGTGGTCGGAAGGCACACACAGCAGAAATGGCAGCTCCTTCCCTGGGAGAGTCACAGATTGGAGCCAGGTATCTGGAGAGAGCCAGGTGACTGCAACCCATCTTATGAAATGAGATGACCCCCAAGGAATATGTGGGATCATGCAACTGAGGGAAAGAGAGCCTACCTGCTGTGAAGGAGATAACAGACACAGCATCAACCCCACCGACCTCCCATCCTGTAACTCTCATCCACACCAGGACCTCTCACCACTGGGAGGAAAAGATGCCATAAAAAATGGGGGTCCCCACTCCAGGCTGAGGTCGAAGCTCGGTCATATCCTGCAGGACACCAGAGGCCCGGCCATGCTCAGGTCCTGGACACAGTAGGTCAGCCTTTAGAAATGTTGTCCACCTCTGCTGGAGGGTCTTCCGGCCCCCAAGGTCCCCCTGGGATGACAAGCACATGGGAAACCCATTTTAGAAGATCAACATCGGGCAAGGAGTGTGGGGTCCAACATGAGTTTCCTCCCTGACTTCACAGCACACAGAGACAGATGGGGAGAAAGACATACAGAACTGGAAGGACAGACATATAGACTGAGAAACTGTGGTGACAGCAAGATATAGAGGTGTATAGGGTCATGCTAACAAGGCACTGACCACATCAATTGTGTACTTACAAAGTACCATACAAGGATGTCTTTTACGTGAGTTATTGAGTTATCTCATTCAGTCCTTAAAACAACACTTAAGGTCGGCATGATTATTTTGTAAATTGTACGAATGTATTTCAAAGATGCAAAAAAAATACTACTCAGAGTCACAGAGGCAGAAAGTGGAACAGGACTTGAATCCATGTCTGTCACTAGTTCCTGCCTTGAACCTCTACACTAACCCACTCACTTCCTATCGACAGTGTGCCACAAGGCTAACTATGGGGGTCAGAGCCAGAGTGCCACCCCCCGAACCCATTCCTCAAGTTCCCAGTTCCTCAAATGTCCCTAAGCAGAGACAAAAGCAGACAGAGGAGAGATGCAAAGACAGACCGAGAGGAAAAGACAGAAGTTCAGACGGTGGGAGATGACAGACAACTGGGATAGGGGTCTCACCGCACAGACACGGGCTACCCGTGGGACCTTGATGCGCTCATAGGAGTCCAACACTCGGGAAGTCTCCGTAAAGAAGAAGTAGATTTCATCATCTCCATCTTCATCCCCCCACTGAGCTGGGCTCAAGACCATGGCGGCGACAAAGGCTGGGGCTGGAGAAACCAATGACCTCAGATCACAGACACAGCCTGGGGTCACCCAGCCTCCACCCAGCCTGTGTCCCAGAGGATGCTGTCTCTCTCCCCACCATTAAGCCAGGATGACAAAGTCTCTGTGCGAATCCAGTCCTCAGTGCGACCCACAGCCCGGGAGATAATTGGCTCCGTGCCCAGGTAGTTTTTCACGGTGGCAGTGTAGAGGACCCCTCCTGCAGGGAGGAGATGAGTTGTCAGAGACACACAGGCAAGTACAAGTAGTCACAGGCAGAGCAGAGGGCAAAGCAGAACAGCAACACGCAGGACTGAGCACCCACCAAATGCCAGGCACTGCTAAGCACATCACAGGGGACCGCCTGACTTACATGAGTGGGAAATAAAGTGCTGGGGTAGAAGGCAAGCGGCATAGGAAAGAAATGCCAGAATGACCATGGTACACAAAAGGAACACAGGCCTCTCCAGAGAAAAATCAGGTGTGATCAGGGTTGTTGTCACTGCAGTAACCTGGTGAGACACATTAGCTGTCCTGGGCCTCCCCAGGAGGGGCGTTTGCTTTGTGACAAACCCCAATCTTACTCAAGTTTTCCACTATGGAACAGTCAGAGAACCTATGTGCTTTCTGAACATTGCTAGGTACACTTTTCTGAAACAATTCACAACTCCAGAGCACACTGGAATAGCTTGGGAACTTGATCAAAATGCAGGCCCCTAGGCCCTTCAATTCCACTCAGTAGAATTAGGGGTGTCCCAACAATCTGCATTTCAAACAAGCAGTTGGATTTACTCTGGTGCAAGTGATTCAAGCCTCACTTTGGGAAACAGCAGCCCAACTGGACAAGAGGAAGATGTCACAGACAGTGAGGGCAACAACAGAGAAACAGGGTCTTCCCTCCTGTACTGAAGTGAGTTGGGAGCACTCTAGGAATAATGAGGATCAAGAACAAAGAAATCACAGACACTTGGGGACAGAAAAGAGAGGCACCCTGGGAAACACTGCCATAGTGAGAAACTGAGGACAGTTGGTCATGGCCACCCAGCGAAGTCTTGAGCACTCAGGAGAAAGCAAGGCGGCAGGACTCCATCACCAACTGTGTACAAGGCACTGTGAAATGCTGAGCACATGACTGCCCTAAAGAACTCTCACTGGGGTCAGGAAGACAAGAATGTAGTGAGACTTGAATTAGCAGATGGAGGTGGGCACAGACAAGAAAGAATCCAGCTGTATCTACCTAGGAGTGCAGCATCTCTTGCGGGGAAATGGAGAAGCACTGGGGATGGAATCCAGGGCTTTACACATATCAAGCAAGTGTTCTACCCAGCTATATCCCAGCCCTGTGGCATCTCTGAAGAATGAGACATTTGACAGAAGGAGGACTTCAGGGAAGAACACAGGCAAGCAGCAAAGAGAGGAGCTGTGTTCAGGCAAGAGGACACTGGTGGCTGAAGCCAGAAGGGTAGAGGCTTCCAGGCTGAGCAACTGAGCAGAGACAAGGCTAGGAATCTTGTAAAAAGTCTGCCTTGCCAGGCCAGGAAATGTAGACACAGTACAGGCAAGAGTAGAAGGGCCTGAACTAAGGAAAGGCAGAGAAAATACAGGGACGGGCTTAGAAGATAATTCAAGGTAGAATACATTAGGAAGATGTGAAAATGAACTGAGATGAGAGAGATGAAAAGAATATAGTAAAATAATTTCTCTTAAAGTTTATAGCCCATAAGTAACCAAGACAAGAAAAGATAGGGAAGGCCAATGAAACAGGCAATTGGAGAGGAAATGCATTCATCTAAGGCTGAAGGGCTTTCAGACCAGGTCAGATACTAGAAGGCAATTAAGGAGAAGGATCTGGGAAACATCGAGTCAGCAACCTGTGAGTCATCATGCATCCTGCGTAGGTCCCAGCAGGAACAACACAAAGGTACTGGGGAGAGAGAACGGTAAAGAGAGAAGAGTGCCCGGGGGAATACCACGAGTTAAAAAGGAATACTCTGGGCTAGAGAGATAGCTCAGCAGTTAAGAGCACTCACTGTTCCTCCAGAGGACCTGAGTTCGAGTCCCAGCACCCAAGTTGGGCAGTTGACAGTCTATAACTCCAGCTTCAGGGGATCTGACAGCCCTTTTCTGGCCTCCAAGGGCAATCAAACACATATGGCATACACACACATTCACACAGATACACACATAAATAAAAATAAACATAAATCATAAAAAAGAAAAAGGAACAGTTGAGTGGTCAGGCCAGCAAGTCTAGAGAAGCAAGGCAGACATCTTCAAGGGTTGTGGGGGCTTGTGCTATCTGGGGGAAGTGGGAAAGAGCAGGGCCACACAGGGGGAAACAGACATCCTGGGGTAACAGATGATGCAAAGAAGTTGTGTGCTGTCAGCATGGCAGATAATCAACCTCGACAAAACCACTCCATGCCAAGTGAAAAAGGGTCAGGAGGCCTGGGAGACCTAGGGACCAGGAGTGAAAGAGGGAGATGGTTCGCCTCATTTGAGATTCTGGAAATTGTTTTGGCATCAGAAGACAAGTTTGAACACTACTTACAAGGTGGTAGGATCTTAGGCAAATTGGCTTTCCCAAACCCCAGGTTCTTCAAATGTAGATGAGAGAAGGCTACCTTCCACTCAGAGTGAGTGCTGACTGCTAGGTGACAATTACAGAGCCCCAGCGAGGGCATGGCACATGGTAGGTATTCAATACATGTCAATTACAGTTCCCTGTGAGACTTCACAGGGCCATATGCTTGACTTGCTACTCAAAGAGGAGGGGCAGCTGTCAAATATCATCCCAATCCCTTCTAGAGAATTTTAGGAAAGAAATCTCAAATATTAGTCATACGTCCCAGCAGCACATGGAGCCACACATGAGCCAACCCTCTGTCCTTGCAAGGGAGGAAAAGGTTCTGTTTTCTGTTGATGCAGCACAGCTGATTGGAAATGGTCCCTAAGGTATTAGAGAGATGGCTCAGTAGTTAAAAGCATTTACACCTATTGAAGGGGACCAGGGTTTAGTTCCCAGCACCCACATGGTGACTAACAGCTATCTATAACTCCAGTTCCAGGGGATTCAACACCCTCTTCTAACCTTCACAGGCACTGCACACACATGGTGCACTTAATACTTACAGGCAAAATACTCATACACATAATACAAAGATAAATTAAGTTAAAAAAAAAAAAAGAAAAGAAATGGTCCCTAAGAATGCCATACACAAGACTATGGCAGTATACAAAACCAAGACTCTAGCAGAAGGTGTGTGTGCCTTGGCTATCCTGAGAACAGGAGATGTGAGGGAGGAAACACTTATGAATATTTAGGAGTGTCTTTGAAAATAGAGGTAATATAATCATTAATGGTGAGGGAGCACAGACTAGCATGCAAAGGCCTAGCAGCCACTGCAGCTTAAGGGTGACAAAATGTTTTAAGGGATCAAGGAACGCCCCAGGGAGCTATAAACACTGGAACCTGGAAATGCACAAGAGAACACAGTCCTTCAGGGTAGTAACAAAAGAGGGCCACTGACACCAGGGGACAGCAGGAAGGGACAGGCACTCTGGGATGGAAGTAGCAGGGCTCTAGATGTTCTAGGAACACCAAGGGCTCACCACAGCTTTAACACATACAGAAGGGACAGCACTCATGACAAGAATGAAGAACACAGTCCACAGGAGGACACAAGACCACTGCACATCTAGACTCTCCAAGACATTCCCAATTCCAATGCAACAGAGTTGCAATGTTCAGATAATAAAATACCCATCAATGTGCAACTGTTTAGTCAATTGTTGCTAAAAGGATCAGTCAATAAATACTTAAATACATATTTGCTGTGACAGTGCATGCCAGGAATCTCAAAACTTAGAAGGATGAAGCAGGGGCATCAAGTGTCCCAGGTCACCCTGGGCTACAATGTGGGACCCTGTCTCTAGAGTCAAGGGTCAGGGGTGTGGTTCAGGGGTAGAATGCTTGCACAGGCCCTGGGATTTATCATCAGTGCCATCCAAAAAAAAAAATAGAAGAAGAAAAAACACAAAAGACAATGAAGACCACAGTGTGGTGAGAGTTCAGTGAATAAACTAGTTAGGAAAAAGCACTGGGCATCATTCAGCCCTGTTTTTAATTTATAAAACATATATAAATATATACATGTATAGGCTAGGACGATTGCTCAGTGGGTAAGAATGCAAGCATGAGGACCTGAGTTCGGATCCCTAGGACCTACATAAAAAGTCAAGTATGGTTGTACACAAGGCTGTAACCCCAGCACCGTGGAAGGCAGAGACAGGAGGAGGACCACTGGGGCTTGCTGGCTGCTGGCCAGGATCAGGGAGAGACCCTGTCTCAAGGAATTAGGCAGGAAATGATAGAGCAAGACACCCAACAGCCTCGACTTGCATGTGCATGGGTGCTCACGCTACACACAACTCACAAACACATATACATACATATTTATACACACACATATACATGTACATGTATGTACATAGGCTTAGGAAAGACTGTTGAAGATGGTGTGACTACAATGTTAATGATGTTTGGTTCTGACTAATGGAATTAAAAGTATCTTGTTTTGGTTTTTTTAAATAAATAATTTAATGAGAATTTCATACATGCTATATATGTATATATGTGTGTGTATATATATATATATATATATATATATGATGTTCTGTTTTGAGATAGGGTCTTATGTCTCCTGGGCTGTCCTAGACCTCATGATCCTCCTGACTCCACCTCCCAAGTGCTGGGATTTCCAGCTTGCATGACCTTTCTAGTCTGATTTTTTTTTTCTTTTGGAGGAATGGGAAGTAGAAAGGGTTGAGTCATGGAATCCAGGCTGACCTTGAACTCTCCACATAGCCAAGGATAACTTTGAACTCCTGATTCTTCAACCTGCAACTCCCTAGTGTTGGGATTATAGTCATGCACCACCACACCTGGCTAGTTATTTCTGTTTTCTGTATGCTTTTTGTATTCATTGAGTATTTTTGTAGTTAGCGTCTTTTAATTTTATAACTTAAAAATTAACATACTTTCATCTCAGAAATACAAAAAAAGAATTGAAAAAAGTTTGAAAGCTACAAAAAATGAAGAATCACAGCCAAATAAAAAAAAACATGATTGCATGTGAAAACAGATCCTTATTTTCCCAGTTGGCTTGTGGACACAGATCCCAAAAGTGTTAGCAACCAAGAATTAACAGGCTAGGCTGT